ATGTGCTCACTTTCTCTCTCTCTCTCTCACACGCACACACACACACACACACACACAGGCACCATTTAAAGAGAGTTTGTTAGACATCTCAAAGAACCATCACATGCAACTGGTACCTGGTCTGCAGAGAGACCAGCGGTGACAATGTGTGCTTAGTGTCTCAATGATGTAACTACTTCTTGCCCTGGACTTTAGTGCCAACACCATCAAATCCTGTATCCATTGTTCTGTTTAATTGTTCAGTAGCATCATAATCAGAATTGGCTAAATTCTGAATTTAGAATTCTGAATTTAGAAAGATAAGCTTTCCAACCTCTTTTTAAAGGTCTATTTTTAGCCACACATGGTGGTGCACCCCTTTAATGCCAGCACCCAGGAGGCAGAGGAGGCAGGTAAATCTCTGCAATTCTGAGGACAGCCTGGTCAACAAATTGAGTTCCAAGATAGACAGGGCTGTTACAGGGAGAAACATTATCTTATGGGAGGGGGGCTGTTTTAAATGTGATTCCTTCAAAACTTTACTGGCTTGTCTCAAGACACTGAATGAAGCTAATGGGACATAAGTTAGACAGAGGGGCACAAGCCAGCTCACCACAGCTCAGTGCAAAACCTTTCTCATCCTGTATTCTTCACAGCAGAAAATCATCTTGCTGTGGACCTCAACATTTGGAGAGGCACTTTTCTTTCTTTTTTCTTTTTCTTTTTTTAATTTATTTTACTTACATACTAGTTTCCCCTACCTTCTCTCATCCCATTCCCTCCCCTCACATCCCCTCTAACCACCACCCCCCCATCCACTCCTCCTCCAGTACCATTCAGAACAGGTAAGGCCTCCCATGGGAGTCAACAAAACATGGTATTTCAAGCTGAGGCAGGACCATGATCCTCCCCCCCTCCGCCCCCCGCATCAAGGCTGAACAAGGCATCGCACCATAGGGAATAGGTTCCAAAGAGCCAGCTCATACACCTGGTCCCACTATTAGGGGTCCCACAAAAGACCAAACTACACAACTGTCACCCAGATGCAGAGGGCCTAGGTAGGTCCCATGCTGGCTCTCTAGCTGTCTGTTCAGTGTCTGTGAGCTCCCACGACCTCAGATCAGCTGTCTCTGTGGGTTTACCATTCAGGGATCTTGACACACACACAAAAACGCACCGCTCTTATAATCCCTCTACCCTCTCTTCAACTGCATCCCTAGAGCTCGGCCAAGTGCTTGCCTGTGGATCTCTGCATCTGCTTCCATCAGGTACCAGATGAAGGCTCTATGATGACAATTAGAGTAGTCACCAATCTGATTGCAGGGGAAGGCCAGTCCAGGCACCTAGACAGGGGCATTTCTTTAAAAGTTATGTGCTTTGCTTTCCTTAATAAAGAATAGTTGACCCAAATCCATGCCCTATACCAAAAACAATCCTAATTACAAGTTGACTTTAAAACTGATAGAGCATTATGAAGTCAGAATTGGAAAATCATTAGTTTCTTTAAATTTTTTTCACATTTATTCATTCATTTGCATGGGTATGAGTAGGGGTGCACGCATTCCAAAGGTTCATGTGTGGGGACGAGAGGACTGCTTGTGGGAGCTGTTTCTTTCCTTCTACCATGAGGTTCCCAGGGATCGAACTCAGGCTGTGAGGATTGGCAACAAGCCTCTTCACCCTCTGAGCCATTTTGCTGGCCCCTGTGTTTCTCAAGCTGACACAAAATGTCTTTATCTTGATGTTCTGATAATATTTCTCCCTTCTAGGACTGTGGGTGCTGGATGGGGTGGAGAAGTGTGTGTGTAGACAGTTCTCCTCTTCCACCTTAACATGGGTTCTGTGCACAGCAAATGCCTCTACCCACTGAGCTATCTTACTGATTTATTTCTCCTGGGAGACTTTTCCAAAATATTTTTTTGTAAGTTCTCAGAAGGAATGGATGACTGTACCTCATGTTTAGCAGGGGTAGTATTATTTCTGATTGAATCTTTAAAAAACAATTCATTAAGATACAAATGACTTACACTTTATGGTTTTTGTTGCTTTAATCAGTTTTCTTTGAACATTTGTCATCTTCTCAAGTCTTTGACTTGTCACGGAGGGGCCCTCTTTTAAACGTTTACTTAACAATTTGACTTTTTTCCAAAATGTCACATATGTATGTGTTCTGTTTTATATTTCATGTGAATATATATTCTGTGTGTTAGAAACATGACACTAAAGCTCCAGGTTAGCATAGGATTTTATGAGTGGGCGATTCCTTTGCCTTTTATTGTTGCTTGTTATAAACTGAAGCCTGCAACCCAAAGAGAACAGAAGTGACAGCAAGCTGTGCAACCAGAAACGATGCTGAGATGGCCTCTATGTCCCCAACTCTAGGCCAGTGCATTTTCCCCTGGAAAATAGATAACTCGGGATATTCATGACCTAGTTCACATTGACTGTTGTCCAAAAGTGTTAGTCCAGGGTGTGTTAGTTTAGTTGTTAATACAAGATTACCTGGAATCTGAAAGTTGTAGCTACTTCCTGATCTGTTTGGGAAGATGTGCTGTCTCTTATAGGTAGAGTTACCAAATAAAGAACTTGAAAATACAAGTTAGTCATGGTTTTGCGTTCTTAAAGTCATCAATAGTGATTCATGGGTACAACAATCATTGTGAACCTAAAGCTAAATTGGAAGCAGCGAGAAACTGAAACCTGGGATAAATGATAAGAAAATGACGATTATGTAACTGTTATTTGTCCCTATGGGGGAATAAGAAAGAATACAGAAGAAAGAGATTTTAACAAAGAGAATTGAAAATGGAATGGGATGGGATGGGGGCAAGCATTCCTAAATATTATGAATAGCTTGAAATGTCAGCCAGTTCCCCTATAAACTCGTTATGTGGAGAGTAATGGAGAATAGTTTTGAGTGGGAAATGGTTTTTAAAAAGAGCATTGACATTTTAAAGATCTAAACATCTTAAATAGAATGAATATTAAATGCAAAATCGAGCTGCACTGAGACATTTTGGAAACTATATTTGAGTAGTATTCTTAGAGACAGCTAATGAGTGACTCATAGCCTCGACTGACTCACAGACCTTGAGAAAGATGATAGCAAATGCCTGGTCCTGTCTGTTTTTCTGGTTGTACTTCCTGCCACATCAGTGGCCATATTTTTGTTTGTTTGCTTGCTTTGGGTTTTTTAGTTTGTTTTTGAAAAAGGGTCTCACTCTGTAGTCCAGGCTGCCTTCAAATTTTCAGCAAGCCCCCTGTCTCAGCCTCCCAACTGCTGAGATAATAGGGTTAAACCACCCTGCCCAGCAATATCAGGTTTGTTTTTAGTTCCTATCTCTCAATTCAGCTTTACCTACAGTTCTGATGACACAAGCATCTGCTATGGGAAAACAGTATTTGCTAACTTAACATAAGGAAGCCCAGTCATGTGGGCACCTGTGGACCATGTAGGATGTCTCAACAGGTCCATGATGAAGTGAGAATGGGAGACCCAAACTTGGCTCATAAGCATGGAAGAAAGAGGTCTTCTTGTTCCACTTCTGCCTGAATGGTGCTTTCTTGGAACTCCAATCACCAAATGTCATCTGATACCTCTGCAAGATGGGCAGGCAGAGGGAAGGGGGCAGACATGCTAACTAGGCAACCCTGGCCTCTAGGCTAGGAAAGCTCACAGTCATCAGAGAATCTGAAATAGCTGAAGGTACCACTGATATATTAACACATCCAAAGGCATCAAAAGTAAAACTGATAGGTCTTGTCAAGCGGTATTGACCCACACTTTTAATCCTAGCACTCTGGAGGCAAAGGCAGGTAGATCTCTGTGAGTTCGAGGCAAACCTGGTCTACAGAGCAAGTTCCAGGACGGCTCCAAAGCTACACAGAGAAACCCTGTCTGGAAAAAACAAACAAACAAAACAACAACACTGAAAAGATTGATAGGTCTTATCAGCATGTGTCGTTGGAGCCTGACCTTCAAGAATAAATGGAAAGTTTGACTGTTGGCAAAATAAGCAGTGAATTTCAACCAGAGATGGAAAATCCTAAGGAAGAGATGCTGGAGTACCAGTGTTGGGGTGTGCTTAAAGAACAGTTAGTATCTCAGCCTAGCTGTGACGCTAAAGATGAGATGGCAATGCTGGGCATAAGATGGGGAGAGGAGTGTGCATAAGCTCTCCTGGTATGTAAGGCTCGTCTTCTCTGCATTTTAGGATTATCCAGTCTCAAGTACTGATCCACCCTGGAAATGGCTATTCTAAATCTGTGATTCAGTTTCTTGGCAAAGTCTTGATCTTACTGGTGAATAACAGTCATCTAAGAAAAGCCTGTGATCTTTCCCAGTTACAGCATCCTTATGTTGCTTATGAGTCTAAGAACTTCCCCTGCCGAGGCCCTCATAAACACCTGTTGAAACTTCAACAATGAATCATACTCACATATTCACATGCATATACATATGCTGACACTGCTTTCTAAATATGCAAAGCTAACAGCTATGGAGCAACTTTCCCTTTTCATTTCAGGATTGGTGATTGAACCTCTGTGGGTTTCGACTCCTTGGGGGATGGTCAAATGACCCTTCATAGGAGTTACCTAAGGCCGTTAGAAAACACAGATATTTATATTACAATTCATAGCAGCTGCAAAACCACAGTAGTGAAGTAACAATGAAATAATGTTATGGTTGGGGTCACCACAACATGAGGAACTGTATTAAAGTGTCACAGCATTAGGAAGGTTTAGAAGTACTGCTCTAGGACCTGGCCTATGCTAGGCAGGTACTCAACCACTGAATCATATTCTTAATATGCCTAGTCATTTTCTTTTTCTTTTTCTTTACTTCTTTAAAAGAAAAAAATATTTGAGACAGGGTCTCAGAAAGTTGTCCAAACTGATTTTGAATTCGCCCAGCCTCTGTCTCTGGAGTAGTGTGACGGTAGTTTGGGTAGAGTTCACTGGGTCTGGCTGCACCTTCTGTACTGCTGATTGTTTCCTGACCCTTTGACATTTTCCCACAGGACTGAAAAAACGCACAAGGAAGGCCTTTGGAATACGGAAGAAAGAGAAAGACACTGACTCCACGTATGTACTTTTGAGTTTGCCTGTCTGGGCAAGCATCCATCTAAGACACTTTTGTAGTTGATGCTGAATGAGAGCCCCAAAGTCTCTCTTGATAGCATGTGTTTGTTTTCCTGTGCTTTTCCCATTTCCAAGTGATAGTTGTATCACTGTTCAGCACAAATTCTTCTTAGGGTCATACTTCTGAAGGGTAGAAACTTTTCATCATGGGTTCAGGTTTTTTAGCATGAACATTTTTATGACCTCATATCTATTAATTCTGCCAAGAGAGGCAGAAAATGTGGTTATTACATTTGTAGAGGAGTTATCTGCATAACCTGACCCAAGGGAATAACTTTATACCTATGCAGGCAGATTTACCCTAGCCCAACCCACAAACGTGCCCTGGATGACACCCACAGCTCTTACTTTAGGTCTCAGGATTGGACAGATCTGTAAAACCAATAGAATTAACAGGAACCTCAATAAGAAACTAATGCCTAAAACAACTGTGGGGATGCTTTGATGCAGTGTGCCCCAGTAGACCCTGGAGAGTGTTAGTAAGGTAACATGTTCATTCCATTGTTTTCTTGTTTAACCATATTGGATGTTTATTCAGAAGCTGGCCCTGACACAAAATCTTAGATGCATTGTCAAGTTGTACAAGTAACACCATACATGAAGCTCGCTGGCCAAGAGCATAGAATCTCAGTCCTAGCTCAGTTAAGGAGAACACCAGCGAGGAGTTACAGCTGGATATGAAGGAATAAAACTGCAGATCTGTGATGGCCTGTCCTGTGTCAGAATGGAGTTCAGTGGGATCCTTCTTCACCTGGCATGCCTGGAAGAGAACAATTAGGAAACTTAGAGTTGGATGTGCAGAGGTGAAAATAATGAATTATTTTCATCTTCAGCTTTTTAATTTTCATTTTAACTAAATATAAACCTTGTCACAGGATGTTTAGCATTTTCTTGTGCCCTCTCATCCGAAAGTACAGAATTTAATCAATCAAGAATTATACAAATTAAAAAGTCTCTCCTACAACTGAATGAGGCAACATGTAAGGTGCCTACTGGGCTCCTTCATATTTAGTAGGTGCTGTTTCTATTCTGACTGGTATAAACTGGTAGTAATGAGTTCTTCATGAGCAATTAAAATGGAATTTCATAGACAGTTGAAGGTAAGAAAGTACCCATTTGGCCTGATGCCTCATGGCAGGAGGGCCTTGAGTCCGGCCTTCTAAAAGGTGAGGTAATATCTTTCACACAAATGCAACAATAAAAGTAGAAGCAGAGAGGTGGGAAATCTAGCAGCCATTCAGGACAAAGCAAATGGACAGAGAGTATTGGTAAAAGTGGTGATGAGAGACAAGGATGGCAAACAGACGGGTGAGATAGAAAGGCCTGAGGGCCTTCTATCCTCAGTAGTGGTGCACCTTGAGCCCCTGAAATGCTGTCATCCAAAGATGTGAAGAGCTGAGAAAGATCATCTTTCTGTGTTTCTACTTTTCTGAATATTTCCTGGAAATTATATTTATTGCAGCCCTGGAGTGGTTTCTAAATGAGTATGTTAGGCATATTTTTTCTAAGCATCAAATGATTTACATTGCTTCTTGATAAATTTGCCATTTTCTAAATATTAACCACCAAAATGAATGCCTTGCTCTCTTTTAAGTGTCTGTGCTCTTTTGTCCCAGTTCAGCCAAGAGTCTTAAGACAGTGGAAATTATCCAGGTCTTTACTTGGCCTCCGTTTCCTTGCCTGTGACAATTAACTTTCTACTATGTGAAATCTGCACGCCCTAGAAGGCCAGACACTGGACTGGAGAGACTGTGAGCCACATCTGGCAACACCTACATTGTGCCATGTGTTATGTGGGACATTGTTGGAAGCACCTCAAAAGAACACCACGGCAGAAGCTGAGAGAGAGAGAGAAGAGAGAGAGAGAGAGAGAGAGAGAGAGAGAGAGAGAGAGAGAGGAGAGAGGAGAGAGGAGAGAGGAGAGAAGGAGAGGTGGGGGCCGCTAAATGAGCCTCAGAGCAGGCTAGGCTAATTTGCATGTAGCCAAAGCACTTTTTCCCCATTGCAAAGAAGTCTATGAAAGTAAGTTATTCCTCGTGGCTTTGCCTCAGATGCCCAGTGTCTCTCTGCGGTCTTCTAATGAGGCATTACTTTTTAGAATCCCAAGCGCCTTTCCTTAACTTTTTATCTGATTGCCAAATTACTTACAGGAGAGAAAATTAAGTATAAACTGGTTCCCCCAACAGTGATGGTTAAAGGACACACTGTCTTGGGGAAGCTTTGGTTTCTTATGAGTCCCTGCTCTCTAATTGGATCACGTATCATTCTTGGAAAAGGAATTATAAACACAAAGGGGTTAGCAGAGCACTCTGGCGGTTTGCTTCAGCTAATGCCTGTGTCAGCCTGCAATCATTGAGACCTTGTTGATGCCAACCTTTTCCAGGATTGTTGCAACTGGCGCAGGGTTGCTAAGCAACCTGCTAGCATAGCAGCCAGCATCAACCTCAGCTGATTGAACCTCCTCCTAGAGAGAGCGGGTTTAAGATCTAGAGCTTCCTGATTTGATCATCATTACAGTGGCTGATAGAGAGAGGAAGAGCAGAATATTTGACTGCACTGGTAACCCTCTTCATTTTCACATAATTCAATAAGGTTAGTAACAGTGTCTCACTTCTAGAAAGGATAAATCAGTGCCAGGTGGGGTTAGTCACTTGCTGAAGGCCATAAAGAAACAAACAAGGCCGAGAACAGAATCCTACTCTAGAAAAGGCAGGGATGGGAAAGACCGTCACCCAGACAAAGAGTCAAAGAAAAATGGCAGTAGTCACATGAAACAAACCTTTAAAACTAGAGGTCACCCATCCATGATAAATGACAAGGTTTAAAATAGAACTCTCATCCAATACAATGGATCTGTCACTTTAAAAAGGAAGAACTTTTAAAAATGAAATACAGGTCCAAGGCGTTGGTTCTCTTGCAGACTGCTATATAAATTTGGCATTGTGCAAAAGTGGCGAATTGAAAGCTGCCTCTGTGTGACCTGGTAAAGGAGAAGAGCCCATCTGTTTCTGAGAGAGAAAGAACAGAACAACATCAGAAACACACAAAGGAGTGGGAGGGCAGCTGGAGACTGTGAACTGAGGAAAAGCCAAGCAGTGCTTAGGAAGAAGCCGGACATGATGAAATCCACAGAGTCCTCCAATGGGGAAGCAGCCTGGAGCAGCCACCAACCAGCATCCAGACATACAGAACCACTGCTACTCCCCTGGGGCCTGTAACACACCAAATGCTTGTCGCGGCCCCCTGGGACCAGCATGTTGAAGAGCGAATAGATGGGAAGCAAAGTCATGGCGGAAAACTAAATACACTAGGGCTGATAAGAGCTTAGCACAGTGCTGGCTGTGGAAGCTCTATCACAAGTGTGAAATGGGCATCTAAAACTCAAATATCCCACAAGCATCACAGGTGACCTGTCTGCAGAACGTATGGAAAGCAGCACCCTGCCTCTGCCAAGGCGAGCAACAGCGTGGGAACACAAGAACTGTACTGAACAAGGCAGTCTTGCCCAGCTCGTGCATGTATTCTCGGACATTACCAGTCATTGATCAGGGAAAAGGTCCGGATCCTCAGTGGAAGAGAATGCCCAGTAGCAGAGATAAACACAAGCCTAGGCATTCCCCATCCCCGTGTCCCCTCATAAACACTGAATGCCCTGAATGGAAAGTAGGCTCCCCCAGCACACCAGAAAAGAGGTTTAATTGGATGGCTGGCGTCTCCCATTAGGAAATTCCAACAGGAAGCTGTGTCCAGCGTAGAAGCCACCTCAGGAGGGAGAACATCTAACTTGTTTGCAACACTGAGAACTGCAGCCCGCTCCCCATTGCAGCTACAAGGAAGAATGATTTGTCAAAGGGGTGGGGACAGCCGTGCCATCCCACCTGGGAAGCAGTGCAAGCTGGTTGGTGGTAGAGTTCCTACACCGTTTCATTTTTCTTGGTATTTTATTTTAATTCACAATTACCACCATTCTTAGTTCCTGTTAGTCTAAGTCCTTTTCCGCCTGCTCTCTTTCCTGGGGCTCTTCTTTAATATTTTCTCTATTACTCCCCACGCTTGTAGCCCACACACATTGCTCTCTTTCTTACATCCTCCCTCCACATCCTCACTTTTTCTTCTTAACTGTGAATTCTTGTAGCCCTAAATACTATAAACTACAATTTCATTTCTCTGAAAGTGTCCCCGTGCCCCTGTCTCAGAACCTTAGAGGGGACACGAGTGTTCCAGTTTTTTGGTTTCATTTTACTTTTTTATTCTGTGTGAATACAAAGATTGCTGTAAATAGTCATTTCTGTATATGCAGTTTGCTCCCCCACCCAAAAAAAAAAAATAGTAATGAGGGAGAATCCAAGCAGAAACAGCTCAGAAGACGCCCATAACGTACAACAAACAACAAAGTGGAAAAGAACAAAATAAAAGATGGGGTACACGAAGATCCCAACAAGCGAACAAAACAGACCACTCTAACACAACTCCTCAGAGACAGAAAGCAAGGTCTGGGCAGCTGGGGTGCCAGAAGACTCAGGCTCTGAAGCCCTTGTTTGCAGAGCATCACAGCTTGGCACCACCACAGAAACGCTACCCTGGGATTCAGCAGCAGAGGGCGCAACTTAGTACAATTCCAACCCCATCTCCTGCCCTATCATTGAAAGAAATGCCAGAATATGGAAGAAGGCACAGATTTATCAAACTGGTTGAAAACTACCAGAAAAAAAAAAAATTCTTTACCTCATAAAAGGAAATTCAGGATTGCTTCAGGGGATAGCTATAGGAATATATATGTGTCTGTGTACATGCTTTATAACTGACCCTTTAAGTGGAGTTAGCAATAATGGGCCCAGGGGACTGGAGAGCTGGCTCAGCAGCTGAGACAGTATGCTCCTGCATAGGACTCAAATTCAGTTCCCAGCTCTAGTATCAGGTGGCTCAAAACTGTCTGTGACTCCAACTCCAGGGGATCTGACACACTCTCTGATCTCTACGGGTGCCTGCCTTCACACTCGCACGTGCTCACACATAGTTGTGCACATATACACATAATTTAAAATAAAACAAATAATTTAAGAAGGATGGACCAGACTCTCATGAAGGATGTGGATCATGGTCCAGCACTGCTGGCTTTTACCTTTGGACTCCAGATCTTGGTGACAATTTCCCTGCCTGACACACATGTGCCTACCCCACACTCAGATGTGGCTCAGTATGGTAGTTTTTGTTTCCTTAACTGGGTTCACTGCAGTGGGAACGCAGGGCAGCTGAAGATAATGGCTAACAGTTCTTACTGTGGGTCTTTAATCACTGGGCAGGAATGTCTCCTTTTCATAAAAATCCATTTCTTTTCTGTTACAGAGGCTCTCCAGATCGAGATGGGATGGTAAGTATTTAAATGATCATTTTTAGTGGGTTTGCACCTCAATGTATGTGCTATCCTTAAATTACCTACAGGCCAGTTTCTCCGTCCTCCTCCTCCTTTCCCTCCTCCTCCTCTTTCCTCCCTCCTTCCCTCTCTCTCTTGCAGGACTTTTCAAAAGCCCAACTATTTTAAATCTCCCTAGTAAATGTGCATGAGATATAAATGTGGTCATTGTCAAGTTAGACTTTATATATTGCGTTCACCTAAAACCCAGCCCAAGAGCAAGTTAGACATTGTATATTTGCACTAACTAAGACCCACCCCCAGAGCACACAAGCAAACTAGCCACAGAGACGGCTGATCAAAAGCCAGACGGTTTGCACAGGGGCTGCTCCCATTGACTCCTATTTCATCTCCAGTTCAATGACATAAAACTCATTATGGGAGAATCTTTTCCAGCGGCGCCACAGTTGTAGAGGAGCTGCCTCCCAAGGAAACTTTCCCCTTGAGTAGCTGGGCTGCAAATACAATTTCTATATCAAATTCAGAAATAGGGAGTGGTCTTGAAACTATTTATGCCTGGATTTACAGCCTACAGTAGAAAATTTGTCCACCAGGTTTCAATTTAAGCAGGAAGTGACTCCTAGCTGGCTGCCAGATTTCTTGGTTTTTAAAGTGGTCTGGGGTATGCCAGTTTAGACAGATCCACATTGGAGTCAACCCTGGCTTCTAAAATGACTTCCTTCCCATCTAATCAGCTGCCTATTTGGAAGGTTCAAAAGAACAGCTGTTATTGAAGGGGAAATGGACACACATTAAGCTCCCTGGGCCAGAGCGAGAACTAAAATAAATCCAGTGGTTAAAAATATATATTTTGAAAACTACTCCTTATAATAATCTACCTAATAGGGTGCTGATTGCAGCCATAGCAGGAGTTTTCCTCCTGCATTTGATTTAAAGAGTTTTCGGCTTTGGGGTGCCTTTTGCATTCATGTGATTCTTGCTATGAAATGTTTTTTTTAAAGAAAAAAAACTAGAATGAAATTGATCAGACTTTGGGGACCTCTATAATCAAGGCTCTATTCAGCAGGGGAAAAAAAAGGCCCAGAAGACTCAGCTTCTCCTCGCCTCTTGCTTCTGGCTCAGAGCCCTCTCCTTAACTCTGTCTCAGGTACTCTCTGCTTTCTGTGTCTTCTCTTTGCTACTGGCTGGGTCCTATCCCTGGGTCCTTCTGTCTTTCTGTCCACGCCTTTGCCAGGCTCTGTCATTGCCTCTGCCCTCACTGGATTGCTACTCCTGGCTTGTCTCATTCTCCCACTCTCTCAGTCTTTTTTTTTTTCTTCCTCCAATCCCCTGCTCACTGTCTCTGAGGCCATGTTGCTGCCTCTCTGGTCTCTGCTCTTCTAAGGAGCCCCAATCTCAGCATCTGCTGTATTATGTGCTATGGTACCCGATGTTGAAGATGACCGTGACCATGAGCTCCAGGCATGGGCCCAATGCTCTCCAGGGCTCCCTGAACCTGTCTTGTACCATCCCATGTCCTGTAAAATCACTGCTTAGCAGTTAGGTCCTCTCCATTATTAGTTAGAAATGTCAAAAAGATGTGTTCATAAGAAAGGGAAATTATTTAATTTCATTTCTTCCAGAAATAACCAAAAACTATTATTCTGGAAAAGGCCACATTCAAAATAAGAAAGTGCATTTTCTAGAAAAAAAAAAGTACAATCATGGATAATTGGAAATTATATGTCAGTTACAAGTCCTATTGAAAAACGTTCAAACTTTTCCCAAACATTTTGCCACCAAATTCTGAAACCCAATGCTGTGGACTAGAGTTAATTGGCCTGTAGAAATCTCAGCCTGAATTTCTTCTAAACTCAAAATGGGTTTAAGCCCTTTGATCTATGGACTGTAACCACTTTGATATGGTTGAGACAGCTTCCAGATTGCTTGCCGCCAGTTCAAGGCCTGTTTTCACTATCACTAATATGACTCTACCAGCTACAGGTGTTCCCATCTAGTGCTTACAAAGAAATTGGTACCCAAAGAGCCTGTGCCAAACTGAAACTTAATTTCAGTTTCTCAGCGCCTAATGGAGCCCATCACTGATGAGGCTGCATGGCAGGGCTGCATGGCGTGAAGGTGGGTGTGTCTTGCTGCTCACTGGCTGAGTGTATACCCATCCATCATCAGCAGAGCTGTTTGTCACAATGTCTAGACCACAGGTAGCTGTGTATGACACACATTCTAATCCAGAGACAAACTCTAATTGGTGCAGGCTAGACCGGAACTTTCCCTAAGCAGTTCCGATCCTCCACAAATATGCTGGGGTACCAGGGTCAGAGTCCCTGGCTGTGAGAGCTCTTCTGCTTGTCTCTAAACATGCAGCCAGGAAAGGGCACAGGTCTGGAACTGTCCTCTGTGTCCCTGTAGGTCTCTGTTGGCCTTTCAGAAGACTTCAATAAGAGGAAAAGAGGAGAGCTATGCTTTTTATCCATAGAGTAGAAATACAATCAGAAATCGCCCAGTCCCTTTCTGTATTGTCTTCATGTCTGTTCTCTATTCATAAGCCAAGTGCCCTCTGAAGGGGGATCCAAATGGCCCCTGGTGCCCCAGCCCATCTCCCGCCTTCTCCCTTCCTCTCTTGGCTTAGCCAAACTGGCCTGCTGAATAGAGCCTCATTATGGGCCCGAAGTCCGCTCTTTGCTTACAGAATCCTGCCATGATTGGTAGGCTGCACAATTTGGTCTAGAGGTTGTCTCTATTGTGATATGTTTGCTGACTCCATGTGATTCTTTATATGTGTCTTGAAGAACAAACAGATCCTTTAACAACTTTTTTCTACATGAACACAATCAATTCCAGCAGCCCAGCCCACACGAGCCACCCTACCATAGCAAAGCAGAGTGTGCGCGTGAAGGAGGCAAGAAAGCTTCGGTAAGGACACAGATTTTAGTTTAAAATTTCCAAGGGGTTGTAGAAACAGTGAGTAAAATCCCCACCTCAAATCTGGAACGCACAATAGCACTACTTGTTCAACAAGGTAACTCCGAATTACTTCTTGACTACCCGGGTCTGGGTTTTAAATCAACATACAGACTTCCTGTGCTGAGGTCTAGCTATTTTTCTAAAGGCTTGCATTGTTTTTTGTCTTAGAAAAAGAACAGAGATTTCAATTTTTCATGTTTTAAAAGAATCTGTTGTCTGTAAAGATGATGAACTATAATAGAAATACCAATGTGCACATTGAGTTGGATTGCTCTTGGTAAAGTAAGCACCATCTATAGCAACAATATCTGCAGCTTGGCAGGACCCTGCCTTGTGGAAACCATACTTCCCCATGTTGTAATAACCTCAACTACAAAATTATTTTGTTGCTACATAACTGTAATTTTGCTCCTGTTATGAATCATAATATGAATGCCTGATATGCAGGGTATCTGATAAGGGACCCCTTGTGAAAGGGTCCTTCATCCCCCAAATGGGTCTCAAACTTCAGATTGAGAACTGCTGATCTAGCTCATCACATTATCTGAAAACCGATGGTAAGATAGCCAAAGTAAAATGTCTATTAAATCAAGATGAATATCTCCACGAGTGTCAATCATTTTCAAAAACAGTCAAATTCTCAGGTTATAAAAGCTATACTTGACAGATGTCAAATATTAGAAAAGAGAAACAGAAAAAAAAAAGAAGTTCAAGGAGAAGAAAAAAAAAACACTATTTAGGTGTTAGCAAAAAGCTGGCCTCCCTTCAGCCTTAGGTCCAACTGTCCAGTGATGTTTCTTCACCACATCCCTCCCTGCTTTGAAGTCCTCTATGGAGAACTAGTACAGCCACGAGTTATGAGCTGTGCCTTGTTCCGTGTTTAAAGATGAGAATTACTTCCCTTGTGCTTAACCAAAAGAATCCCAGTTAAATCCTGGCTTACCTTTAACTTGTTAATGTTCACTTGTGAAACAAAAGTATTTGTTAGAGTAAATGAGCATGAATGAGAATAAATTGCCAGTTCCTCTAATAAAGCCACTCCCTTGCATGCATGTAGGTATCTGTCTGTGTGTGTGTGTGTGTGTGTGTGTGTGTGTGTGTGTGTAGAGTGCCGAGTACCTGACAAAAAGAATGTATTGTTACAATATGTTGTTTGAATTAAGTATTTGTTTGTAAAATGCTTGTCATAAACAAACAAGAAAATCCCTTACGGTTTCTTTTTCTTTGTTTCAGTCTTCCATTGATTTCCATAGAAACAAGGAAATGTTTACTTGGCCCAAATCTAGAAATTTAGTAAATTCTTTATGAAAGTGTTGGATATATGTTGTCAAGAAAAAAATGCATCTATACTAACATACATATATAATATATACATATAATTTGTCTGAACATGTAGAATATATTGAATTTGAGGAGTTTTAATCACAGAGCTTATTAGCAGAGGATAAAGCTATAAAACTAGACAAACTGTGAACTCACTAACTTACCTAATTTCATTGAGTTTATAATAGCAATCTATTGTATGAAGGAATCATTTACAAACTAGAAAGCAGACTGATTGCAGTATTACACAAATAACAATATCCATGGGTCTGTCTCTCTGGAATCCATTAAGTTTATTTCATTCCCTATTATTGTGTCAAATTCTCTGTTGAACTTGTTTGTTATATATGCTTTCTAAGGAGTTAAAGCTTCTGGAGGTAAAACCATATACAGACAGGTTAGTAAAGTAGGATGGATATATATATATATATATATATATATATATATATATATATATATATGAATGAGGCAGGCCTGTTTACAGGAGAGATTATTAACACATTAAGTTGACACGGTAGCATTGCAATGCACACAGGCAGAGCTAAGGTGACAGGTTTTATAGGCCTTTGACAGACTGTGCAAACTGCCACTCAAACACCAAGAAGGAAGTTCTATGGGAAGACAGAAATGATGCCCGCATATATGGAATATTTATAAGGAATGGGAGAGAGAGAGTGATCAGCATAGGCCCCATAATCCTGGGTACGAGGCCTGATGAACTCTCACACAGTGATAGTCTGTAGCGAGAGAGAAAAGCACATCACTTACGCCCCGTGAACTATACCCCTCACTGAGCCACAGCTTGTTCTTAGAATGCCCATGCAACATTCAGTACACATTAATGGATGCTGATGATTCTTCTGGGTTTTCTAGAAATCCTCTGGGCATATGTGAAAAAGCTCTCTCCTATTTATCAATGTGGATGGTTGCCAGCCACACTGTAATGCAAGTGGCCTTACTTGTGATTGCAAAATCAAAGACCCTGTCCTCAAAGCCCTGTATATCACCACATGTGTTGTTATGAAGTCTGTTGTTGCTCAGTGACTTAGCATCATTTACTGTGCTAAATGCAAGAATGTTGTTGAATGGACCTATCATCACTAACCTTATTTGTACTTTTGTCAAAAAAAAAAAAAAAAAATAGAGAAGCTTATTGATTTCCCCCTGGAGGGTGCCTCATCCCTGGTCAAGTACTTGTGTTCATTTGTCACAATTCTACTGTGAGGAAAAAAAAAAACTTAGCTAAGCAGGAAACAGAGCCATGCTCATTCCCCATCTTCTTGCAAGAGTGTATTAGTAGAGGCAGGCACAGAATGCAGGAAAAGAGAAACCCACCTTCAATCTTCAAATTCTGTTTTAATAATGTGATAAGGAGAGCCACTTAGGAAGAATAGCAACATGAGTTTTAGTGACCAGGAACTGAATTAACTAATCTGAAGCTGATTCCATATATATGCTATCAATTGAGTCAGTGGTATAAATAATTTAAATAGTTAATGACTCAACTGAATATTCCGGGTATACTGGAATTATTTGTATGTCGGCAGCACAGAAAGTCAAAGGTTTCCATTTAAAATCCATATGTGTGCTTTTAACCCTTGGATATAATTAAATCATAATGTAAACTCAACAAGTTCATCAGTAATTGAGTAAAATTTGAACAGCTAGCTGTGAATACCCCTATGCCTGGTTTTTGCTGTCTTGCGAAATATGTACATAGGCTTTCTCATCCAGTGCCATGGCAACTGCATTTACCACCCAGTAACACCAATGTGCTTTATACCATAGGATGCTCTAATCTGTCTTTCCAGTACTGGATTTTGATAGCTCATGCTAAATACAGATAAGACTTAAGTGGTTTTTGTTCCATTGTGGTCTTTTTTCCCTTTTCTTTCAAATGTTTCCCTTCTAAATTTATTTTCAAATTTATTACAGAAAAAAAGCAATGGGGCACCAAATGGATTTTATGCAGAAATTGATTGGGAAAGATATGTAAGTATAAGAACTTTTTTTAAAATGTACAACTTTAAAATTACTTGAAGCACTTAGACACATAAGAGGACACAGAAATAAGTGGAAATTTTGCATTTCATTTGGAAATGCCTGCTGTATTTAGGATGTAGTAAAGTTCACAGCCCCAGAGTCTTATCAAACTGGGCTTCAAGACCTGAAACCTCCAAGCACTAGCTGTATGTGGCCCCTAGTAATCATTCAGCACAGCACTTACCCTGGTCCCATCATTGTAAGAACTCTGGGATAATTGCTTGCACATTCCAGGAATATACCAAGCCCACAGCTGTATACAAATATACTTTTTTCTCATACTAAATGTAAGTGATTATCTTTCTAAGTAGCTTTGAATATGGTGGCAAATAAGTTAATTGCTGAGCCTGGATTATATGATGACAGCTATATGGTATAGACTTTTCCCAGGTCAAGTGACAGTTGATTCTCACGAAGTAAAGGTAGATCCCAGCTGAGATCTAAACTCCCCCATCTTAGCATCATTACCATTCACTTCACTAACCACATTAGAGCAGGCTGTTCACCCAACCTGCACTACCCTCAGATTTCTAATCATACAGAATTTTTATGTATATGTTTTTGCATCGGAGATCTCTCATTGCTGCCCCTCCAGTCCCAATTTTAGCAGAGCAATGCACACAGTCCTTCCTTTACCCTTGGTTGAGGATACAGTCTCAAAACCACAGGGAGTCAAGGACCACGGCAGACTGACGCTGACTTGCTACATGGTTGTGCTTAGTTTCCTTTTTAGTTATTGAGCTCATTATTGCCAAATGGGGTTTTCATGCCATTCAATGAGACTGTGACACACATTTGTAATAGGCACTAAGGTGTAACATATGAACCCCAACATGCATACTGTCTTTTATTTTCCCCAACTTATAGTGTTAGCTCTTTGGTGTTAGCTTCATCTAGTAGTCGATCTCCCAGGACTGGAGGGTAGAAACCATAGACTCTTCTTGACACTTCCCTCCTTTTTCCTCCTATCACCAAGACTTGACAATCTATCCCTCCAGATTCTTCCTTCATCCTTGCTTCATCCTATCCCATCACCAAAACTCGAGTCACACATAGTCTTAGCAATAGAGCCTGAGTTGGTACACATATTTTAGATGATTCACCCTTTCTCCTGCCTCCACTCACCTTACCCTCTGTCCCCAACATCTTCCACTGTGACTAAGAAACTTCAGCAGCCCTAGCAAGACAAAGCCCCCAACCCTAGCAGACATCACCCATGGTCTTTTGCCCAGTCCCTGGCCCCTACCCCCCACTGTCATCCTTGTCACTTTGGCCTTCACCACCTGAGTCACACAGTGTCCATTCCTACCATGGCATCTCATCCTACACTCCTCCCACCACCGTGGAGTGACCCCATCCCTACCCTACCCTCTTTATCTGCACTGAAAGTCTCCAGCAGCCCCCCTTATCCTTACAAACTAAGCTGATCCCCCTCATTCTTAATAACTACAATTGCTATCTTGTGGTATTTTCTTTTCTAATTTTTGCCTCAGAGAATATGTTTTCATTTCCCTGAGGGCAAATAGTTTGCATTTCAATTGCCCATGTTGCTTGGCACAGTCTGTGGCTTCGGAAAGGCCTGATATATTCTCTTTGTTTTGTTTTGTTTTGTTTTGTTTTGTTTTGAGACATCACTGGGGTCCTTCAGATATCCTTGAACAAAGATTTAAACAGAGACTGCTTAGCATTCATTTCCAAAAGCTAACTCCTCAACCCCTTAAAATGAGACACTTGTCTGTATTCTTAAGTAAAAGATTTCTAGAAGGAAAGCAATTTCTCCATCAATTTGGGGAAATAACCACTTAACCTGCATTTTTGTTTTTGAGAATTTGAATCAGGAATACTGTATTTACAGCATGACCACACTTCCCACTCCAGCCTCCAGCTTCTCATGTGCCTTCAACTACCTCTCAATTATTCTTTAAGTATTACTGCTACATATATGTGTGTTGTATTTCTGTTTTACAGAACTCACCTGAGTTGGATGAAGAAGGTTACAGCATCAGGCCTGAAGAACCAGGCTATATCCTTTCTGTTTAAATTTTTAAAATTTATATTGTCTCAGGGACCAGTAAGCTAAATTTGAGTCTCACAAAGGTCGTAAAATAACCAAAGCTACTATTAGCCTCAGAGATGAGTATCTAGCCCAGAGAATAGCCTGGTGGCTAATGAGCATGTACATGCCTTGATCTCGTCGAGAGACAGAGAGAAAGTGACAGGGTAGAGGGAAATATACAGTAAAACATCCTGCACACTTGTTACCCTGACTTACCTGCTGAACCCCAATATGACAGTGTCATTTACAGTGAATGGCAAAGAGCATTACTGTCCTCTCTGGCCAACTCCCCCCCCCCCCCGGAAAGACCCAAGTAGCCTTGCCTTACTCTGACCAACTCCAAAGCATGCAAGATTCTTTATAGGTGCCCTTTAAAGTAGCCTTGCAGTGTGTGGAGACACAAGTTCCTGCTTGTGATCTGTGTGTGACATACAAAGTTCACCTGTCAGAAAGAAAGAAAGAAAGAAAGAAAGAAAGAAAGAAAGAAAGAAAGAAAGAAAGAAGAAAGAAGGAAGGAAGGACATAGTAAAGAAAGAAGAAAGAGAAATAAGAAGGAGGGAGGGAGGAAGGTAGGAGGGAGGGAGAGAAGGAGAAAGAAAAAGGAAGGAAGGAAGGAAGGAAGGAAGGAAGGAAGGAAGGGAAAAGAAAAAATGTAGGACCATGACCAGTGCTCCTCAGAGTTCATAACCATAACCTTTCTTCCTTGGGTGCTATTTTTCTTTGGTGTCCCACCATCTAAGGTGACTTTTACTATGTCTACCAAAGCCATTCTTGTCTTGTCCTCACCAATACCTCTTAGCAGAAGAAAGAGCTAAGTGTCCTTAACTGTGTTCTACCTACCAAAGGAAAACACTTTTATTCTTCGAGTGAGTCTGAGGAGGAAGAAGAGTCCCACAAGAAATTCAACATCAAGATTAAACCACTGCAATCGAAGGACGTCCTTAAGAATGCTGCAACTGTAGATGAGCTGAAGGCTTCAATAGGCAACATTGCACTTTCCCCGTCACCTGTGGTGAGTGGAGTCCTTATGTTAAGCTTTGGTAAGGTTGGGTGGGGAGCCGTGTTCTGTCACATGTGCTAAAAGCCACTTGTGTCTAATCTGGTGAGCTCTGCAACCCCTGAGTAACTCACTCTCTCCCTCTTCCAATGCAGTTCCTCATACCTTCTAGACTAGTAAAAGCGTGTGAAATTGTGTTTTATTTTATTTTTTAATAATTGTCAGACAAAGAAAAAATAAGAAAATGATGTTTCAGACTTACTTCTAAAGACTTAATTTTAAAAGGATATGAACTTCACAGGTCAACTAGCAAAGTTTCAAAAACACATCTTAATTTTCTGTCTTCATGAAAACAAACAAAAGCCAAGAACATTGCTTTTAAAAATACTTACTATTGTGATGCTCCAAAATCATAGAAAATAAGTAAAATCTCACTAGGTTTCTAAAGCGTGGGCTCTTCATTATTTTTTAATCCTCAAATTGTTTTAAATACTCTTGGAATTTAGAATACTCATATCCAGTTGTTGCTTTATTTATATTATTCTAATTGGTCTTCTCCCATGATTTGGGCTTCCATTCCGAATTCCTAGCTACTGGTTTTCTTCAGTTGCTGAGTTCTGAGTGCTGATGTTTTCTCCCTGGGGTTTGAAAAGTGCCAACATTGTCTTCTAAGAATAGCTGTGCACACAGATGCAAGCTCCCTAATGAGATTCTCTTGGCTCCTCAGGGGACCATCCTCCTCAACAGGGTAGTTAGTACATGCTAAACCGCTTCCTAGGGGCTTCTAGAAATATCTCAACTAACCTTTTAAAAACAGTTGTAATTGTTTATTCCTTGAGAAAAAAATTTTGCCTTCCTGGGATAAAATTGTTTGTTTGGGTTTTTTGTTTGTTTGTTTCGTTTTGTTTTTAAGAAAAAGCAAATCTTAGTGCTTACAGTAGGATTTATCCCATGTGTTTGGTGACAATTAAAAGGATTGCTAATAGTCATCCACACATTGAAAATGATTTGTCATCATATATTCACCTGCTACTTTAGCAAAAGCATGAAATACTGTTTCTTTCTCGCCTGCAATGAAAGGTAGAGATTTTAAACACACATTCTGGCCTGTGGTTTGTAGTCTTGGAAGCATTAGGTAAAACGCCCCCTTTCACTTTGTTTTCACTTTTCAGCTGACATCATGCTCATCGCCTTCCACTAACCAAGTCACTGTTTGTTGTTTGTCTTTAATTGTAAGAAAATCTAAATGTCAGGGACAAGTTTACATCCCCTTCTAGGTAGGGCATGATAGACTGGGTGGGTTTTTGGGAATTGCATGGGGAAGTGGAAGAAGGCAAGTCCCCCTGATTAAATGGATGACTGAATAAGAAAGTGGGCTTTCTATACACATCCCAGAAGCATAGCTAAAAGCTCACTGACTCTAGGCAAGGCGGGATCCACTGTGTTACAATGAATGTGTGCCCAACCTGATATGCTGCTGAGGCACAGTGAGAAAAGTGGCTGGAAGCCGGAGGCTTCCTCAGAAGCCATCTTTAAGGGAAGCAGCCATCAGGTGCTTAAGGCTCAGATGAGAAAGAATTCACGGAAACAGAGCAAAAAGTAGATGTATATACACTGAGACCACAATTTGGAGTTGCTTTCCTGACCCCAGTCCAGCCCAATTTATTCCCTTTGCCATGAAATTTTCTTTCATGAGAATCACTCCCACATATTTCTAACTTTGATATTTAGACTAGGAATAAGCTCTTGCCACCCTTTTTGGGACAGTTTTGTAGTCAGACTTTCTATTCCACTACCAACCTCAAATAACAACACAGAGACTTATTAACAATGAAAGCTTGGCCTTAGTTTAGGCTTGTCCCACTAGCCTTATTAATTAGGCTTAATTTAACTTAACTTAAATTAAATTAACCCATTTATGTGAATCTATGTTTTGCCTAGTGGCATTTTACCTTTCTTTCATTCTGTATGTCTGACTCCCTCCATGTCTTGTTGGCATCTCTCTCCCAAAAATATCTAGAATCATCCTGAGTTCCTCTCTCTGCATCTGAAAGTCCTGTCTCTCCCTCATGACTAGCTATTAGCCATTCATCTTTTTATTACACCAATCACAGCAACACATCTTCCCCCACATTTCCCCCCTTTTGTCTAAATAAAAAGGAAAGTTTTTTAACTCTAGCACAGTAAAACTGTATATAATAAGAACAATTATCAGTGCATTTTCTTTGTCCAGCCCATATGTATTTAGTATATTTGAACAACATATTCTATTATGTATTCCATCTTGGTGAATCCAAGGATTTGTACATAATTCACTTTCTATCATAACTTGTATTACTAACGCAAGAGTATTTTTTTAGACCTCAAAACATTTTCTTCAATAAAAAATTTAATGTCCATTGATGGAAGTTTCTGTCCCTCCCAGCCCTGCAGCTGTTCAGTTCAGTTCCAAATAAACACATAAAGGACTTGTGTTAATTATAAACTGTTTGGCCTATTGCTCAGGGTTATTACTTACAAACTCGTACAACTTAAATTATCCCATAATTCTTACCATAAGCTACATGGCTTGCTACCTTTTCTCAGTAAAGCATTCTCGTCTTGCTCCCACTGCATCTGGCTGGTGATTGTGTCTCTGCCTTTCACCTTCCCAGAATTCTAGTCTGGTAACCCCACCTATACTTTATACCTAGCTACTGGCCAATTAGCATTTTATAAACCAAAATGAGTGATAAATCTTTACAGTGAACAATAACAGTATCCCACATCAAATGTCTCTAAACCTCATACATTTTATACCACTTCTTTTAAAAAAAAAAATGGTCACAAGGAAAACTGTAACTATCTAGTCTTCAACCCCATCAAAGACCCAAAAAGGATATAATATTACAGGAAATACAGAGCAAACAATTTCCAAAAAGATAAATGGCAGTCAGATGTCTGCCTGAACAGTCACCGCAAGGTTCCTCTGCAATTTTAGGGCATCCATCTTTGGCCTACAGGCCTAGAATATCTGACAGACCTTTCTGTGAAGCCAGAATTTTTGAAGGACTGTCCTACTTTGCCTTGGCAAAGTTCTGCAGTCAATTTCTTTTGTGTGTTGCTTTTTTAATTTGGACAACATACTGTCAGCAATTGAGTCAAGTGCAATTTCTTGCTCAGTGGCTAGCTTTATCACAACAAAAGCAAGATCTACATGGAAGTTCTTCAGTGTCCTACATCTTTTTTATATAGATTGATGCTGCTAGGAGCAGACATGTCTTACTGTCATGAAAAGCTATATGTTATTAAAATATTTTAAATGCCATATTCTATAGGTCTCTGAAGTTTTTGAAGACCATCTATCTGTTTAAAATATATCTCTGTTTGACCTTGAAACATACATAACATGACTACAAGTTTGATTATTATAGATGACTAACTACTAACCTGAATTTCTTATTATCCTAAATAGCTTTCAAGGACTAGAATTTTACATTACATTTTTAAATCATATGCATAGATACAATACCTTTAAAAGGGTAGAAACATATATACAGTATATTATAACAAAAATAACCTTAATTTGTATCAATATACAAAAATCTATACCAATGTAAAATGTTTGAGACTAGTAGTTGCTTTTTAGTCTAAAACTGGATTCAAGAATCTACCCTTTTATCCTATCATTCCCATATCTCCCATTTTCTATTCAAATAACGATCCTTGAATCCAGTCTCTTTTGCTTCATTTTTCCCTGTCCATGACTGATAACCATTTGTAACCCCTAAACAATGACAAACATCCATAATCCACTCAAAAAAAAAAAAAAAGAAAAGAAAAGAAAAGAAAACAAAAAACAAAAAACACCCACCCCACCTCTTAGGAATGTGGGTGTCTTGTTCTTACAATTACTTCCTGTTTCAAAGCACATACTTACAATGAATGCCTGTCTGTGGGCAAAGGCATCTTTAGGGGACCCTGAGAAAATTGGGATAATGGTCAAGTCCTGGGAAAACTAGCTATATGATTTGTTGTCCAGTCTTTGTATAATGGGAAAGTGTAGGGCTTATCTGAAGTCTTGGCTGGAGTAGTCTGTGAGGCTGGAACATCACAGCTAGCAGCTTTGAAGTTGTGCTGGATGCATGTTTTTGAGGAAACTGCAACAGAGGCATTCTGAGATGCTGGATCAACTGAGTTACTTGTCTTTATTGTTGTCTGGTGGGGGTTTTTTCTCTGAAAACATAAACTTTTAAAGGTAACATATATCTGTATTAACACAAACATGCAATGTGTAGTGTGCACAAATCAAAAATGATTTTTTTTTGGTTCTATGTTGCAGCAGGTAAGAGGTACCTGTCAACTTTATAAAACCTTTTAGACTGTATAACCAAACTATAAATCTCCCATGTCATATAAAAGAAAGGCATGTAATAATAAGTCATAAGGATTCTGTAACCAACAAGATTCATCATGTCTCATCCAGTCTCAGAGCTGCTTGAATAATAGAAGGATCAGCATATACATCACCTATCCTGTAGTCTTTCTTGGTTTCTTTTATCATGTCTGTGGCCAATATTTTCAGGAGATCTTTCCCAATAAAATCTGATCTTTATTAATTTTTAAGAGAATCATAACTTTTGTTTCCTGTGGAAGCAAAGGCATAATCCCTCAACACAACGTATATTTTACTTCCAATTTGAAGTTAAGACATTCTTAAACTACATAGGTTGGTTTAATTTAGCAGTTTCCATAATTCAGTATCTCTCAGCAGCTATTTTGTACATTAGTATTAAAAAATTGAAGTTAACACCAAACAGGATCCAGACACCCTATATCTTTTCCATCTTTATGTGGCTTTTTCATTTTATATTACTTTGCTCTTTCCTTAAAGGCTTCACTGTATTATTTTTAAGCTACTTGTTTTCTATGATTGTCTATACCCATTTTCTTTTCTTTCTTTAGCATCTAAGTATATTTTCTAAACATACTACACCTTTTTAGATGTTTTCTGTGTCTGGACCTGGTTTTACCAA